TCATGTTCCAGAAAAGCAGACTTTGAATACTGTAAATAAGCCCAAGATGAACCATCAGAGACTCAGCATCAGAAACTGGTAACAGTCCCCGTCTCTGTTTTCACTTCTAGTTTTCAACGTTACAAACGCCACCGGGCCTTCAGCCAGACTCAGAATACTCAAAGGATCCGGAAGAGGCAACACAAGGTTAGTTTTCAGTTTAGAATCTGTTTTTTAACTCTACAAGACAGAAGTAAAGTTTACTGAGGTTGTTAAATCCGTTAACCGTATTTTTCGGTCTATAAGTCACAGTTTTTTTTGCATCATTTGCATGCCCTGCGACTTAGACACCGAAGCGACGTATTTTGGATTTGTTTCTCATATTTATAAACCAATGTTCGGCTGAGATATGACCGTTTTCATTCGTTCTGACTGACAATATTGAACACTACCATTTTCAGCTGCTAGATGGCACTCGAGTGGTATGGCATGCCGTTGTGTCATGCAATAGGTAAAAGGGGCTATTAATGACACAATCAGCTTGCCATAGCCTGCCACCTTCGTCCAGCTCGCTTGGAACAACTGTAAAAATCAGCTTCATTTCACTGCGCTGCCCTGGTGAAATGCAGCTGATTTGACCATTCAAGTGCATTTATTAAGTAAAAGTTCAACTGAGACACATTTTTACTATAATGTCGAGCAAACAAAATGGTGTTTTTAGGTGGTTATCTTGTTAAATTTTGAAGAAATGCGCAGCGTTCTTCATTCCAGATTTCCTCCCTCTGCACGCTCTCACAGCCCCGACGCAGCAAGTACTTTTGAAATGCAGCTGATTTGACCGTTAAAGCGCATTTATTAAGTAAAAATTAGACTGAGACACACCTTTGCTATAAGTTCGAGCAAACAAATAATTGTTTTTAAGTGTTAATCTTGTTAAATTCTTGTTAAAGTCCTCCCGTGCACGCTCCCGCGACCGCCATTTGGCAGCCAATCCATTTTTGGCACAACACCGGCCCACATTTCCAGGTTGTCAGCGGTGACGCGTAACAAATGCGACACGTCAGCGGTGATGCATAATAGATGCAACGTATACGGCGAAGTGACGTATTTATGTAATTTGCACTTTATTAGACATATTTGCACTGATGCAACTTATAGGGCGGTGCGACGTGTACGGTGGAAAATACGGTAAACGAAAACGTGAATTCACATTTTGTCTATCAGTGTAAATATTATCACCGTTACTTCAATCTTTTTAAAACAAAACGCTTCAATTTCTTGTGAGACAGTTCATTGGTTGTGTTTAAGTATAAATTGTAGGAAGATGTTCATGAAAGTCGTGATGTTTAAGGTTTATCTGCTTGAAGACGACAATAAAACTGTTTCAACTTTGACCTAAATATGACGTTTTAAAAGCTAATTATTTGTAATAATTTCCCTCTAAATCCTCAGTTTTACTGTTGCCGTCAGACTGAATTCTCAGTAAAACGCTTGTTGAACTTAAAATGACTACAACAACAAATAATAATTATTATTAGAGTCCCTCTGAAAGTCCTCGCGGTTCTGTGAATAAACTCTGTGTTGTAATATTTGGTTCAGGAGACATCTGCGTTCACGTGGGTTTGCACCGACGGGCGTGTTCGGGTGTCTGTGTGTCTCAGAGGATTATTTCCAGCGGTTGATTGTTTGGTGTGAGCTTTGCTAAGGGATGGAGATATAATCCCCACCCCGCCCCTCCACAAAACTCGTTTAACAGACGGAGAGGACGACCGTCGCTGCACTGCAGGATTCAAGAGAAGCTGACAGAAAACGTGCGTCTCCCAAAACTGATGGACGTTTTCTTACTTGACGTCAACCTTTACATTTTTGTCCACTTAAAGAAGTATTATAACTTCAATTCTTGTGTATTTAATGTTTAAAATTGAAATTTAAACACTAAAGATAGATGTTGGTTTTTTTTTTAATGTTTAAATCAGCGTTTCCTCGTTTTGTTTGCTTTTGACCCACAAAATAAAAGTTGATCCCAGTGTACAAACATTGAGCCTCGTCAACAATTTTAGAAGTTTCTATACTTTTATGGCCATTTTTGAAACATTTAAAGCTAAATTTGTTATTGGCACTCCTTTTAAAACGTATTTGATTTTCATAGTTCTTCTCAAGACCCCACACTTGGAGTTTAATGAGTTCTTCACACAGCTGATCAGTCTTTCGTGTCGAACGGAGTCAAGTCACCGATAAATCAATTACAGCTCAGTTTTCATTGATTTAAAGCTAAACACGTTGAGTGGTGCTAAAATAATCACGTAGAAGATATTTAGAAAAGTTTTTCAGCTAACAAATTTATCTTGAGTGTGACTTAGACTGAATTACTGTCTGCTTTGGGATATGTTTTAAGATTACATAAGTTCAAATTGACCTTTAAACCCAAATCTTATAGAGATTACGCTGGTTCAGATAACGTCTGCAGGATGCAAACACATGCCTGGTATGTGTGGCTTCGCCCATGGTGTGGGCCGTGGAGGTGGGGGGGCTTATTGGTGTTTATTAACGCTGTTGGTGACTGCCAGTGTCAATCAGAGAACAATCACAATCAGATGTGACCCCAAAGAGGTCAGAAAGCGCGTGCAGAAACCTTTTAACGAGATAAATGTTTGTTTTTGTGTCTCTTTGTTTTAAGATTCCTGTGATGGACTGGAGACCTGTCCAGGTGTCCCCCGCCTCTCACACAGTGATGGCAGGACATGGGCACCAGGGACCCCCGCGACCCGAAAAGGAAGAAGCGGATAAAAACAATGGATGGATGTTTTAAGATTATTGTATCCATTTTCCAGATTATAGATTAACTTCCTCACAGGCTGAAGCTGCGCCCGTTGGGTTGATCAGTCATCATTAAGAGGGTAAAGGTGCGACGGCGAGAGAGCGGCTTGTGACGGACAGCTGACATGTCCTGGATTTCTGTTGCGCATTAGAAAAGCTCTGGCTCGACTCCGCGGGTCACCCCCCGCACAGCCGGAGAAATCCCACCTGTGTTTGTCTGCACTAATTTCAGATTATTACCACGGTTTTAACTGTTACCTTCAGGGCCTTGCTGCAGATTACTCCTTTGATGTTTAGCTCAGGTAAAAACATGCCGAAGGATCAACTCTATCAGCTAAAACACGACGGTTATAACTCCTAAAAGTTTACGGTGAAGAACATTTAAGGCTGCAGTTCATAAATGTGCTTTTAAAAAAGTACTTACATGTGTTAAAGTAGTGCGAGTGGGGAAAAAAGGCGCTTACATCTTAATATGTGCGTTTTTATTTTACTTTGTTACCTTTAGAAAAGCTTAATGTATGTCCTGTTATTTTAGATTAACTGTGCAGAAGCCTAAAAACATAAGTTGACCAGTAAATGTATTTTTTTTATAGATAAATAACTAATGAAGTGTGTGTCATCTTTCAATATTCAGATTTTTACTCATTTTGCTACAGTTAAAAATGCTTATTGTAATTTTCCAGACATCTCCAAATGTTTTCACTCACGAATAATAATCAAATCTTTGGTTTAGGAGGTTTTTAAAAAAAACGACAAAAGTCCAATAAAAACACATCAGGGATCTAAACAGGGAGTCAAAGTGCTTTTATTGCGAAGCCACTAATTTAAAACAGAAATAACCTTTTGTTATAGTTCTTTCCCTTCTTATGTGTATTTATGTGTGTGCAACTTTTACAAGTGAAAGAGCCATTTTGATTACTTCTATTAAATATAATTTGTATAAAGTCATTAAGTACTTGAGATTTAAAATTAGGATCAAATAAAACAATAATGTTTCCATTATTAGGTTTTGTTCATCAGATTGTTGGTCATTTTCATAAAGCGCTGAAGGTAGCAGGCTTTTATTAAAGTCAGACCGTTATTTCTAATCTTGTCTGTATAATAAAATTAACTATTTATGTTAGAACATCAGATAAAACTATAATCTCCAACAGATGCAGAAAACTCCCTGCTTTTACAGCAATCTGCCTCCAGCTTGTTGAAAAAGTGAGAATTTTCCGCTGGATTTGGAGAACAACTTCGCTGCGAGTCAACGCAGCGAGCGAGAAAAACTTTCGGCTCAACGATAAAACCAGTCGCTAAATTTTAAACACATCTGAGTGAAAATCTGACACACATTCAGATTATTCTGGTAGAGAAATGATGAGAAGCAAGAGTATTTTTTTATTACCAATACGTCTAAAAAGAGTCCAGCTGCTGCAGAGGTGTTACAAACGTTTTGCAAATATTTGGATTATCTGCTAAAACTAACTAGTTTTTTGTTAATTTAGTCAAAAATATTGCTCAGGTTGATGTTTTTAGTCAACGGCTGGTCTGAAGAGTCACACGGGGCTCCAGAACCGCAGGTTGCAGCAGAAATGAGACAGAAATCGAATGAAATCGGTTCAAGATGCATTCAGAAAGCCACTCGAGTGTGATCTTCTAATTTTAGATGTGTGTGTGTGTGTGTGCGTGTGACCACATGTCCCACACCCTCCCCTCCCCTCCTCTCTCTCAGATGATAATCTCGATGTAATAATCTGTTGTTTGAACTCCTTAAGCACAGACTGTCTATCACATCTGCTCTCTTCACCCCCGTAAAGCCATGCTATTAATAAACTCGCTCCTTTTTTCTCCCGTTTTCTGCGTTTCGATCCGCACCTGTCAGAGCTGAACTTCTTAATGTCCTCATCAAGGAAACGCACCTTCTCATTTGACCAGCCGACACTCTGGAAAATCGTTATTTCTGCTTTAAATCTCTCTGATCCTCTTCTTTATCAAACAAGAGCGGTAAGATTTTCCACGTCTGCTGAAATATTTAATGCTTCTTTCAAACTGTTGCAGATGACTCATGAATAACTTCTCTAAAGCTCTGATGATCCATTTCCTCCAGAGAGACAAAAGCTTATAATCGCAAATGATATTAGATGGTTTCAAATAACTCTGTCGAAGAAAAACAACCATTTATGTGTCAGTGTTGAATCAACGGAGGGACGGAGTCTTACCTGCTGTGTGCTGCTGTCTCCCGTCCAACAAGAGCGAGGCATCAGGAGGGACGTGAGGATGAAGCCACAGTCTTTTGCGTCATCTGAGAAAATTTACAGATTAATACAAAGAACAGCTTGGTCCTCCAGCCCCCTCCTCCACCTCACCCCACTCCCCTCCCTCCGTTCTGTCTGTTCCGTGCACATAGTTCTCTCCATCCGTGACTTTTTATTAAAGTAATCATTAGATGCACATCTACAACAGATAAATGTTTGGATTTGACCCAATTAAAGATGGCCACTGCAGCTAATCAGCCTTTGCAAACACAAAAATGGCTCAAACTCCATCAATTTGACAGAAATCGGGTCTAAATTTTGATATAATTCCCCAACACATATCCCGTTTGCTAAAAGAACTTGCATAACATTGTTTTCCAGGTTTGAGCTATAATTCTGTCACTTCTCAACACGAATCTAGTTTAAAACTCTGGCATCAAAGGTGGCGGGCGATATGCATTCATTCAAGGCCTGAACCTGGAAGATCAGAATCAAAATAAGCTTTACTGTCACTGCACAGTTAAGTACAGCGAGATTACGTTCCGTACAGCCGTCCTAAAGATGGACGGAGGTGTACTAAGAAACACTGCCCTTATTGCTTAGATAGAAAAAGGGAAGCCACATAAGGATATTTCTTAATACATCTACGTCCATATATAGAGATCTCTCACACCGTGTCCTTTAACAGGGCACAGTTTAAGGTATCAAAAAAATTTTACCACAGACACAATACATAGGCATGGACGACAAGACGGTGAGATTTGTCCATGAACATTTCCAGATAGTTTCCCTAGTCCTGATAAGATGTTAGTGTCTCTCAGCTGGTACAGCTCTGATAAGCGTACAGAGAAGTTCTCTGGGGGGGGGGTCGGCAGAGCAGAGCGTATTTACATATCCTCCAGGAGCAATTTGAGATAAGTTGGCCTTCCAAGGCCGAGCGGAGAGGCCAGATTCAGATAACAATTGTTTGGGCAGGCAGACTCTGGTTCCTGTCTGCCTTCAGTTCTGCTGGAACTCTCGATGGCGAATCCAAACAGCCAGATTTGTGAACATTCCTCCGGTTGGTGCTTTAGCTTTTCTCCAGGGTCGAATCAAACATGCCGGCAAGTTCCAGGAGCTCACAACGCATATGACTTTGAGAGCTCGATGCACAAATGAATCCATCACATAAGGCCAGCAGCCTGACCAGGGCCAAATTAGCTGCAGCCGTCTTCTTTGTATGTTGATAAACCAGGAACCAGCCGATTCCACAAAGGAGGAAACCTGTTATCATAAATCCAATTATATATGCATCTTCGATCCATGACATACCCAGCTGCATGTGTCCGCTTGGGCATGAGGGCTCTCCAGTACCCTGCCTCTTGAAAAAAAAAAAACATTAATCAAAAGTGTTGAAAGACCAGCTGACCAGATCCGTAATAATAATTTACAATTCGGAAGATGTGTAAAGAGAGGCTCTGTGCACAGGACAAAGAGCAAAAGCAGGAGGAAGGCAGGAGAGGGAGGAAAAGTCTCCGTCTTGTTCGAGGGCAAGTGAGAAAAAAAAAATGGTGATGAAAGATGGAGAAGAAAAAATATCTCCTGCAAGTAAGGTGAGGCACAAAAAAGATTTTAGAAGCTTTAAGAGATGCAGAAATGTACAAAAGCATGAGTTTGTGTGCAGAGGGGGGTGTTTCAGGTGTCCTCCATTCCACAGGAGGGCGCTATGACTCCTGCAGTGGCAGAAGGAACCTGCACAGTTTCCTGACAGGTATCAGTGTCAGTCATGAGGAGCTGCTGCACATGCTGGCCTTCTTTGTAAATCTCTACTCTGCAGCAGCACGGAGTTCAAACCGAGCTAATAAAGAAGTCGAGGAGTTTCAGGTTGGCTCATAAAGACTGCAGACCTACTGGCTTCATGGGCTTTGAGACAGGGCCAGGATTGATTTACGACTCTAACGTCTCAACTGTCAAACATGAAGATGAGCAACAACGTGACTCCTTCCTTCAACTGGCTGCCATCATGGACACGTAAGATTGAAGGTGGCGATATAACGAACTAAAAAACGCTCAGTGATCACAGCAAGACTTCAAAAAGCATCCTGGTTTGTGATGTGAGCCTCTCTAATGTGGGAGCTTGTCATCACCGGTTGCTGCTTCTTTCTAATTTTAGTTGCAAAGAAGACAGACAACATATCTGCTGAATATTTAGGTCATTAGGAATTTTTCTCATTAACATTCAAACATTTGAATGAGAACTCCAGATTGGGAATACACACTTATTACAGATATTAGAAAGTAGAAAATATCTCCAACATCCTCTTTTAGGTCAAACGTTTATTGTCCAGAACAGAATAAACATCTTCTGCCATCACAAGATGTTAAAACAATTTCCTGCGGGATCAATACAGTTAAGTTCTATCTTCTATTATTTTCATCTTTAAAATGAAGGATGTTAGACTGATGATGTCATTGTTTCTGTGAAATCAGTGTGAGTGCTGATTTTACTACAGAAGTCTAAAAAAACAGGAGAACGAAAGCTAAAAACTAAAATGCAATAGCTAAATGCTAAAATGAGCAAAACATTACTTAAACTTCCAAAGTAGCAAAATGAAGCTAAAAGCTAAATACAGTAAAAGGCTATCAAAAAGCTAAAATAAGAAAAATGCTAGTTGGAAGCAATAGGCTAGTCAAAAGCAGCTAAATATTTGCTAAAATAACAAAAGTCCCACTAAAAGCTTAAGAAGCAAAGAGCTACATACAAGCATTCTGATAGCAAAAAGTAGCAAAAGGGAGGCTAAAAGCTAAAAGAATCAAAAGCTATATAAAATAATTAAAATGCTAACTGAAAGCTAAAAGTAACAAAATCCTAACAAAAACCTAAAAGTGGCAAAAGAACAGCTAAAAGTGGAGAACAGTAGCTAAAACCATAAAGCTGCTCAAGAAAACAAAAAGAGAACATTGAAGAAGGTTTTAAAGTGTGTGTGTGTGGGGGGGGGGGGGGGGATTGGAGAGCTCTTAATGTATTTCTATGGAAAAAATATTTGTAAATAAAAAGCATATTTTGAAAAATATTAAAGTTACAAAAAGCAAACGTCACAGCACCCAGCTACTGCACGAGCTGAATGTTTTCATAGATGAACAATTCAAATACAACAAAACATCTGCAGAAGTAAATCAACTGAAATAACACAAATAAAATAAAAAATAAAACCATATAACCAGTTACCGGTAGACATGTCATCCACTGTTCTAATCTAACAAAATGTAATTTAATCTAATCTAAGACAGGATGTAGAAATGTGTGTAGGATAGTTTATATCTTTTCAGCTTCGAGATGTAGGAGCAGCCAGGCGCTGCTGATCAAATGCACTGAGATTAGCTGCAGCCTTCAAGTGGGCGTTCTCTCAACGCCAGAGTGGAAAGACATCAGCAATTACCTTGGAGAAACAACTGTTAACCTACAAAATATTACAGGACCATTTCCAGACACGCTCACTGAGAAGTATCGTTTGTGATAAACATGATAGGTTCTTCTTTTTCCAGAGTTTGCTCAAAGTAAATGAGCTCCATTTAAACATTACAGTTAGCACGTAAACATTCAACTTCAAGACAAGATGATAAAAAAACAACTGAACGAGTTGGACTTGTTTTGGAGGGTTGTTAAGAAAAAGCCTTTTTTCCGCAGCACAGCTTAAGTTTGCATAGTTGCATCTGAACAAACCGACTTCTGGAACAACGTCCCTTTGGACAAACGAGATAAAAGTGAAGATGTTTACCCATAATGCACTCATGCATACTGATGGTGGGCGGCTAATAGTTTGTGCTTTATTCTGCAGCGTCAAGATCGGAGTTGATCCGTCGTAACCAAAGTATTTTAGAGACAAATGTGGGGCCATGTGTCCAACAGCTGAAGCTCAGCAGTTCAACCCAAGGACGACAACCTCCTACAGCGGTTTGGCTGAAAAAGAAAAGACGTTGTAACGACCCTCTCAAATTCAGACAAAATGGCTGAAATGTTGTGGCAGGAACTATTTTATTTATATTTTTATTTTTATTTAACAGGATAGTCCCTTTTCAAGGGAAGCCTGGGCCTGAAGGCAGCCTAACATGCATGTTTTTGTACTGCGGGAGGAAACCGGAGTACCCGGAGAAAACTCACGCAAACTCCACGCAGAAAGACCCCAGCTCCAAATCGGGGCTTGAACCCAGGACCTTGTTGCTGTGAGGCAGTGCTGCTAACCACTAAGCTGTCGTGCTGTCATGACCTTCAAAGAGCTGTGCGGAAATAAATATGTGCAAATCTCAATTTACTGAAGGTGCATTATAAAGAAGAGTTGGCCAAAACTTCTCCACAACCATGTGAAAGACTGAAGAGGTCCTACAGAGGAGGATCTCTGTTGCGTCTGTTTTGGGTGGACTTCTTTTCACATGCTACATCTGCATTTTTGATACGCAGTAGTTTTAGTGAAATAAATGATAACCAAGTAGTATTTAATACTCAGACCTGAAAGACCAAATGATTTTTGATCATGTCCTGATGTGTAAATCCTTCAAACTGAAACCCCAGGTGCTTTCTGTTTTCTCTAACCAGGACTGTACGCGCCGCCGAACTGCTCCCATTATGCTCGTAAATCCTAAAATGACAGACCTGAATTTGGTTAATTACAACACAAACACAGACAAATTTCCTCAAACTTAAACACACACTTCCACGCACACATCCCATGTCACTCTCAGTCTCGCAGGGAGAGACAGATGGACAGGGCCAAAATGGGGACAACCGGGCCGGAGCCTCCTTTGTGCGGTAGTCGCTCTGTAAGTCAATCCTCTACTAATTGCCTGAGCAGTTCAAACACAAAGTCTGCCACTGAAATTCAAACCTGCTGCTGTTGTACAGTGAGTAAAAATTACAATGTGTTACATTCTGCCTCCTGGCAAGAAAAGGGACCGCAACGCGGCCTGTAGAGGAAGAGGTGAGGGGACGGAGGGACAGATGAGCTCAAAAACGCAGAGACA